CTCTGGACAAGGACCAGACCCAGGTCTCTGGCTGCTCACCAGGTGACCTCCCAGCAGGGGCTGCGGGTGGCCTCCGGGGCTGGGGAAGATACCCACCCAAGCTAAGGGAGAGCCAGCCAGGCCCGATGTGCAGGTGTGCAGGTGCAGGAGCAAGACGTGGACCCTGAGTTCCAGCAGGGGGAGCGGGTGCGGGTGAGGAGGAGACGTTGGCCTGCAGACCCCGGGGGACCAGAGTGCAGAGGCTGGGGACCCCAGGTCTTCCTGGTGGCCCTCCAGATCCCACAAGCAAGCCACTCTTCCTTCTCCCACATGCTCCCATGGCACCCAGGGGAACGTAGAGGGAGGGGCAGCCGTAGGAGAGACGAAACGTTTTATTCCAGAATGTTCCACCTGAAGGCACTGTTAAGTTACTGCATCCACCTACATTTTAAGGCAGGTGAGAGCGAAAAAAACTTTGACTTGCCCTACTTACACGGAGAAGGGGCCCAGAAGGAAGACAAGATTACTTCCAAATAAAATAGGGGTTTTCCCCCCTGAACTCACATCCAGTGGTATGAGTGACCCTGTGTCCCACTGCACACACAGGTGGTGATGGCATGAATGCAGGGAGCTCCCAGGACTAATCAATCCGCTTCTCTCGTGGGGTGTTGTTATTCAAGGGTTCCCATCCCAGCTCCTTGTGGACATGGCGTATTTTCTCATAAATACACGTGACTATGGAAACATGCTTTCCGGCAGAAAAGGACATTGAGGCGAGCAAAATCACCCACGTTGGCCCTATTCACTCTTTTCCTAGCTCAACCCGTTAGGAATGACCATTTGGGACCAAATAAGGTTTTTAGACAGACCTGGCATCACACCTAGTCCGATCCAGTAATGGCACAGTTTTTAGTGGTTTTGGTAGCTGGGGGTCTTTCCTGGGACGTCAGATGAGCGCTGACTCTCCTCCTAGGCTTGCTGTCCCCTACTACGTTTTCTGTTGTTGTTCTCCCAGACCTCTCTCGCTCGTTCTCAGAATGTGTGTCTTCCCCTTAGATTGCTTTTTCATTTTATTGTAGTACATTCTCGACTAAGTTTTTTTTTTCCCCGCCAAGAAGTGCTTGAGAAGTAAATTTCCAAAATCCTTGCATGTTTAAGAATGTGTTTATTTTGTTCTCACACTTGATTGATTATTTGTTGAATACAGATCTCCACGTGTAAAGTAAATCTCCCGGAGAATGCTAGAGCATTACTTCATTATCTCCTTGCTGGAAGATAATCCAGTGCTGATGAGAAGCCGGAGTCCCACCTGATCCTTGGCGTTGGCTTGCATGCGTTTCTCTCTTTCTAGAAGATTTTAGAAGCTTCTCCTCATCCACCTTGTTTCCTTTTCTTCCCTGCTATTTTTTGAGGAGGCAGCAAGGTCCACAACTTGCTTCATTCTCCTTGGGGGTTCTCAGCAGGCCCTCTCACCATGGACAACTGTCACTCCTCAGCTCTGACAAGTATTACTGTCACCGTTTTGCGATTTGCTGCTCTCTCGATATTCTCTCTCCCTGTCTGAATGCTTTTCGAGTGGCCTTCGATCACATAACATCTCAGCTTGTTGCCCTCACTTTTCATTTCTGCGTGGGTTTTATTGTATTTATTTGCCAGCCTGGGAGATTGTGATGGACATCTCCCGGTCCCTCTACTGGGTTGTACCTGTTAACTTCTTGTATTTTAGCAATTGTGCTTTGTATTTCCATAACCCGTCCCTCTGTTTGGGCAGCCCATTTTGTCGCAATCTGTTCTTATATTGCAGGTGTGATTTCTGCTGGAATTTCTCTTGGGATACTCATTGCAGGGCTTTTTTGGATCATTATGCTTTTTTCCCATCCTTGTGTTAATCTTCCTTCTCTACCCGTGGGAGACAGTCGTCCTATTTGCTCAGAAAGTCCCCTTTGTCAAGCTGCTGGTTTCTGCCCACATTTTCGAAGTCCAGGGCTGACAAATGTTTTCCGGCCTCCTTACTGAGAGGCGGCCATGGCGCCCCCTGCAGGCCACCTTTCCTCCGGGGCGGTGCTGTGCAAAATCTGCCAGGGGGACCCCTGTCCTTCCGAGTGCCCGTCCCTGAAGTGATAGGAAAAGAAATCGAAAATGAACATTTACAGACTCACAGCCTTTTGTCGTGACTGCGATAGCGGAGCATGATCGGCAAGTCTGTATCTTTTTTTTTATTGCAGTTGCCACGAATTCCTTTTATTATGTTTTATAAATGTATCAGTCATAACAGATTAGAATTTTTCTTCTTTTCGGAGAGTGTCTTCTACGATAGATCGCTCAGGAGGCAGTGTTGTATGGAGTCCGATTGGGGGGCATCTACGCACGCTGTCCCACTGCTGTGTGTCCCACGAAGGGGGGTCTCCTGGTATTGTCCCCATTCCGAGAGCCCTTGACACTCAGAGCAGAAACATCAGAAATATTTCTTTGCCCTTAAATTTTTTAATCTTCTAGTGGCAACATTAAGAAACAGGTGAGATGCATTTTAATAATATATTTTATGTCACTGAACATATTGAGGATGCTGTTATTTCAACATACAGTCATTATCAAAATTATGGGTGAGGTATTTTTGTACTCTTTTTTTTTTAGATGTTTATTTTTGAAAGAGAGAGAGAGAGAGCACATGAGCAAGGGAGGGGCAGAGAGAGAGGGAGGGAGAGAGAGAATCCCAAGCAGGTTCCACACCTTCAGTGGGGAGCCCGACGCAGGGCTCAATCCCACAAACTGTGAGATTATGACCTGAGCCAAAATCAGGAGTGAGATGCTTAACCGACTGAGTCACCCGGGTACCCGTTTGTACTCTTCTTTTTTCTTTTTTCTTTTACAAACCAAAGCTTCAAAATCTGGTGTGTCTTTTACACTTTTAGCACCTGAATTCAGACACTAAATTTTCCTTAGTTCTGTATCTTCATAACGGTTTGGGTTCCACGGTGTATGCATTTGTCAAAGCTTATTTCAGGACAGAGTTAAAATCTATAAATTTTACCCAAAAAACACCTCTAGTTAATGATATGCATGATGAAGTATTTAAAGGTGAAGAATGCTAATGTTTTCAACTTCCTTTGAAATGCATAAGAAGAAGTAAGGACCCGCGGCCACAGGGGTAGATGGATACCTATGTGATAAATGAAATATAGCAGAATGTTCGTTGTAGAATCAGGTGTGGGGGGGGGATATATGGGTGCTCACTATGTAATTTTTCTAACTTTGCTGAATGCTTAAAAACTCTCTTAAGGTGCTGGGGAGAAAAAGAGACATGTCTTCACTGAGCTAGGCCCACATAGAACCCACTGCTCAATCTCAGAAACACAGTTTGAGTGAAAGAAGCCAGATCCAGAAGAGAATCCACCTAGGGCTCCATTTGCCCAGAATTCTTGGACTTGACAGGCACCACTGACCTGTGCTGTTCAAGGTCAGAATGTGGTGATCTGCGGTGGGGGAAGGGCGCCTACAAGGAGCGTAGCTGGGAGTTCTGAGGTGCAGCTGAAGTTCCATTTTGGATGATATGTGTGGGCTGCACGAGTGTGTGTTTGCTTTGTGACAATTCACCCCAGCTTTTTGCAGAGCGTTGGACCTGGAAGAGCACGTAAATCCATAGTGGGCTTTGTTGCTGCAGGCGTGCTTACGGGTCACACTCTGTGGTAAGGGAAACCAGACCTCTCTGCAATCGCCCTGCCTGATTTCGAGGTTCCCTGGAGTGTGCAGGGGAGAGCCCAGGTCCCAGGCCAGGCTTTGGCGAATGAATGACGCTCTGATGCTCTGGGCCTCGGGGCTATATTTTTTGGGAACTTGCTGTGCAGGTCTGGATTGCATTCTTGAACGCGCTCTGCAGAAAGCAAACCCATGTCCCTTGGTCCCTGGCCCGTGGGCACCACCGCCACAGTGCCCCTCACGACTGCCAAGTCCTCAGACTCTCCCCTGCTCCCACCACTTCTTTCCCACTTGCTTAATGGCTTCACGCGCCCGGGCCTGCCTTGGGTAGCACGAGGAACCTCTCTCAGAGAACCTAAAACACGAGGCAGGAGGGCGTGTCCTCACATTCTCTAGCCATCATGGGGGAATCACATGAGGGGCAGGAGGGAGAGAAGAGTGGTGAACTGAGGCAGAACAGGAGAGGTGTGGGGAGCGGGGGAAGCAGTGGCAAATCAGCAAGGAGACTGGGACCCAGTATGCTCAGAACACCCCCAGCACACCCACATTTTCAATTGAGGATTCAAGACCTTCCTGCCCATACAGTGCTGGTCCTGACAGAGCAAGGCACCCGGGGGGCCTGTGGCGGGAAAATTGCTAAAATCACAGAAACATCGACTTCCAGAAATTACAGTTTCTCTTACAAGGGTCCTTGAGCAGAACTTTGATAGCGGGGGGTGGGGGGGTAGGGGGGTAAGTGCGATTGGCCCAGGACAGCCAGCGGGGGTGGGAGGAGGTGGGAGGGCCCAGGCAGGTCTGTCCCCACGAAGTGTCCAGGAGGAGCACAAGGGGCCCTTGGAGGAGAAATGACCACCAGCCAAGCCCAAGGAAATTTCCAGAACAGAGGCTGAGGGCAGGGAGAAGCCTGGAGGGACCCAAGGCCACGAATTCCTTGTTTCCCCCTCCTTTGTGGGAAAAGCTTCCCGCCAAATCCTAAGGACAGGTCTGGAAGTTCTTAAAAACGTGACAAGTTGCTTCTGCGGGGCAGCCGCCTAAACGCTCCACCCAGGGCCAAAGGAGGGGGCGTCCCAGCCCAAAACGACACCTGCGCCCGATGAGGGTGCGGCTAGGGCCGGGGCTCCCCAACCAGGGGCAGGGGACCCCTAGCCTGCGGCTCTCCCCTCAGCCTCCACTTCCCTACCCGCCTGAGGACCCAAACCCCGCCCCGCCCCCTCTTCCTTATCTCCTTCTAACCTTTTGCATTTTATAGTCTCATTTCCTGTCGGGTTTTGCATTTCCCTCCCCCTGCCTGCCTATGACACACTTTCTCTCCTTTTTTCTCTCTTTCACCTCCTCTGGCCTCCGGACTCCGGCCTGGGCGGCGCACAGCCCCCTCCCGGCCCTGCAACCCCCGGGCGGGCGGTGCCCCTCGGACGGCCAGGCAGGGCCGGGCCCAGGGGAAAGCCGGCGGCCTGCGCGGAGGAGGCGGCCAGCACGGCTGGCGGAGCATGAGCGCCTCAGGTAGGCACCAGCGGACGCGGGGGTAGGGGGCGCAGTGTGGGGATGCCGCCGCGGGGGGCGCAGTCCTGGGGGGCGCCGTCCTGGGGGGCGCGGCTGGGGTAGAGCACACGCTACGTGGGGGTGGGGCGGGGGTGGGGACGGCGTGGGGTAGGGGTAACGATGACGCAGCGGAGTCGCGGGTGTAGGTTGGGGGGCAGGAAACCGGGGATGGCGCCGCCGAGGGGGGGCGCAATCGTGGAGAGGGGGAGAGCACACGCGGGGTGGGGGCGACGTGAGGGGCATGGGCTGGCTTGCCCTCTGCGTGCCTCTCTCCGCCTCCCCTCTTCCTCTACCTCACTCTCCCTGCCTCCCCCACCCCCGCCTTTTCCCTTCCAAGCTTTATTTCTTCCACTTTCCACCTCCTTGTGTCCCCTCCGTGCCTCTCCCAAACAGTCGGTCTCCCTCCGGGTGTCTCCCCCTGACAGGGTCCCCACACCCCTGTGGCAGTGGCCCGTCGGTGCACCTGCCCGCAGAGAGGAAAAGAACCTTTTCTAACACCTGAAAGGACAGGAAGTTTCCAGACCACAGCGAAACCTGACTCAGAGGCTCCTGCGGGGTGCAGAGGGGAGGGACCGCCTCTCCTATGGGGAGGCAACGGGCCCAGGTTCCCAGCACAGCCAGGAGGGGCCCGGGCGCAGTCCCCCTGCCCGGGGGCGCTGACCACCCCAGCCCAGGGTTAGGCTGGAAGCCCCCCACCCCCACCCCGAGCTGTGCTGAGCCCTGAGGCACAGGGAGGGAAGGCGAGTGCAGAGCACAGGGGGCGGGGCCACCGGGAGGCCAAGGCTGTTGGCTCAGACTTTTCTGCCAGAGCTGGGGTTTGTGTCCCCTGTGTTCTTCCGGCACCAGCTCAGGAGAGTGTCAGCACAGGGCCATTTGCTGAATCCTGGTCTTGGACCGAACTGACCCCTGTGCCCAGACTGCCCTCGAAGCCTTTGATTTGTAGTTCAAAAATTTTCTCTTGACATTTACAACTTCTCCTGAAGGTGTAAGGTCATCAACCTTCCAGAAAGGGAAAAATGCGCCAGTCAGTCACCTGACAATTATTGAATGTTTACTCCATGCAGTATGTGCACTGGAGACCCTGTGAGCTGTGGGTTAATACGAGGGCGAGGATTTAGGCTAAAACTCCCACCTCTGTCCTTTCTCGGAATGTCCACCTCTTCCCACCCCGAAGGAGTCTGTAAAACATTGTGATTCTGCCGAGGGTCAGAGGTGATCTGAGGCCCAGAGGGTGCCTGGTACTGGGCCTTGCCACACTCCAGGAAGGGGGTTTGGACCTGTGTGGATTTTATTAGCACCGGTATGAAAACGGAAGTCGGGTCACCCTGCCAGTCCACAGAGTCTTGAGTCAGGGCTCGAATGATCCTTGATGCATTTTTTTTCTTAATTGTGGTAAAACACACGTAGCGTGAGATTTACCTTCTGCCCCACTGTTCAGTCTGTAGTTGGGTGGTATTGACATTCACACTTGTGCATCCTCGTCTGGACCTTCATCTTCCAGTCTGAGACTCTGTCCCCACTAAACACTGATGCCAACCCCCCACCCCCTAGTTTCTGGCATCTACCCTGCTTTCTGTCTCTGTGGGTATGACTCCCCCCGGAACCTCACATAAGAGGAGCTGCACAGCGTGAGTCTTTTCGTGACTGGCTTCTTGCGGTGAGAACCACGTCCTCAAGGCTCACCCGGGTTGTGGTCTGCGTCCGAATTTTCTTCCTTTTTACGGCTGAGTAGTATCCCACCACGTGGATGGACCCGGTTTTGTTTATCCCTTCATCATATGGTGATCTTCTAAGACGACTTGTGAACCTTACGGTTCTTCTAAGGACCATGGCCCTTGTTTGAATCTGCCACGGGCACTGTCTTGGTGACTCTGCCCTGGGCACCGTAGGGGACACGCAGAAGGGACAGAACGCCCAAGGGTCCTTGCCCTAAGTAGTTCACGCTGTGCCGTCTGGGTATGCTTTGGCCAGAGTATACGGAGACACCAATGAGACGGAACAGAACTGCGGGTGAGGACGGTGGGAGGCGAGGCTGGAACCTGGCTGCTCTCAGAGGCTGCGGGGACTGGCAGAAGGTTCCAGGCTGAGGCCGCGCAGGCACAGCAACGTCCCAACGTCTTCCTCGCTTTCCTACCTAGTGTTTCTCCTGCTTCCCTGCTACCCAGGACGGAAGGGCTGTGTGTCCGGGCAGGTGGGGGCGGGGGAGGGGCGGTGGACGATGGCCTGCTCCCCGCCCATTGTGCGTCCTTCGTGGTCTTCCACGCTGGGTCCCGGCGCTCAGATGCTTATCGTGACAAGGAGCGTGGAAGGAGGACCAGCGGAGCTCCGCTAGCCAGTCTTAAGGCCGCCTTCTACCAGGTCTTGCCTTGGCTCTGTGCTCAGCCTCAGGGGAACACTCCCTGGTGATGGGGACCCAGGAGTCCCAGGCGCCTACCCTGACACAAGCATGACCTGCCAGTCTTTGGCACCCAATCTGTGACAGGTTTGGTCACATCAAGGCAAGAAGGCAGTCGGAGGCCTATGTTCCAACTGTCAGGTCTGAGGCCGGCTGGGCCAGTGGGAGGGCGTGGCCTCCGGTGGCCCCACATGTGCCCATCTGTGCTCGGCCTGCGACCTTGGACCGGCTGTCACGTCAGCTTCACGAGAGGCATTTCTCCCCCGTGAAACCCGGATATTAATACTGATTATTTTCAGGATTGCTGGTTACACCAAGCATAAAATAAGAAAACACAAAATGTGATAAATGACAACCTTTGCTGGCATTACTGGCGTCAGGGGAAAAGAGGGCTGATTTTGGGGTCCAGGCTGAGGGCTGGAACCCCTGCTTTCCCACACAGTCCGACTCGGTTACCTCTCTACAAACCCCACCTTCCTGGTAGCCGTGTGCCTATACTGCATTATCTGATCAGCCGGGAACATGTTTGAATTGATTTAAAAGCAGGATGAGAAAGAAACGGAAAAAGGCAACTTTTGAGGAAGTGCCTTAAAAACGCTTTGCTTCTAAGAACAGTCGCAAGTGGTAAATGCCCAGAGCCAGCCCTCAGCGGGGCCACATGCCCCGTGCCTCGTCCCCTAGCGCTCCGTGAGCTCGCCCTGCGCTGTGGTCTGTGGTGGTAACAGGCTGGCTGTTTTGGTTGTGATCTGTTCAGGGATCTGAGATGCTGATGGTCATGGTCACATTTGTGTTCGGCCGTCCTGTGCCAGGGATGGTATGAGTGTGCCCGTCTCTCCGGGCTTGCGCCCTCTCTTCCTGCACCAGCCCCGTGGTCCAGCTCACTCAGGCACATCTGTCACAGCCCCTCCACGCAGCTGGGGGATCCTTCCTCCGAGGGTGGTTCTCCTCGCTAGTGGCTGAGCCAGAGGGAGGGGCATGCAAACTCCCTACCCGGTTTCAAAGGTGTAGACTTCTTGCTGGCCCCGGTCCCACTTAGGAGTGGGCAGCCCTCAGACACATGGGGCAGGGACAAGGAAGCCCCTCCCTGTACTCTGTCCCACGTACGCCCCCTCCCCCCTAGGCAGACCTTCCTCTTCTCCAGGCACTGCCACCCCCTGGGGCTGGCCCCGTCCACGAGGAGGCGAGATACTTTAGTGGCAAGATCTGTGGTCTCAGAGCCAGGCGGACAGGACATCCGTCCTGACTCTGCAACCCACAAGCTGCATGACCTCAGGGAAATCATCAAGCTCTGAGCCTCAACTGCACATGTGTAAAATGGGTATAAAAATACCACCCCATACATTAATGCAGACCAAAGAGTTTCAAACGAAGGTAGTCTGACAGCTTCTGCTTTTAAAGCCGTGCTTCTGACTTGGTTATTTGTGAGGGAGGTGGGGGCTGGAGGCAGAACCGAAGTGATGAGTTAAATACAGGGCAATATATAGCACAGAGCTGTCTCCTAATTTACAAAAAAAAATCAATGAGAGGCAGGAGTCGGCAAGCTTTTTCTGTAAAGGTCCAGATAGTAAATATTTTAGGGTTTTCGAGCCAGACAGTCGCTGTGGAGACAGCTCGGCTCTGTTCTTCATGGTGACAGCAGGTGCCCCCGCACATGCTTCAAGCCAGAGGGGCCAGTGGTGCAAAACGGGTGGTACGGGCTTGGCCCTTGACCGATATTTTCCAGGTCCAGAATCAGGGAACCTGACCCAAGAGGAAAATTCTTAAAGACACGAGTAAACAATTTGAACACACTGGGCGACGTGTTTCATCTGTAATGAATCGCGTGCAAAAATAACACAACAGGGGCATGCCGGTTTTTCCGATCACACTGGCAGAGACCAAAAGGTGGAGTAGGGGCAGCGGGCACACATACACAGTGGCTTTGACAATATTTACCAACAGATGAAGCGAATAAGCCCTCCACTCTAGGAATTCCACTTCTAAGAAATTATCTCAGAGACTTTTTCTGCCCGTCAGTATTCATCGAAGTCCTGTTTACCCAAGGAAGAGTTTGAATCCTCGCAGATGCACCCCCAGAGTGAGGTCCCTCTGTACAATGCAGTTGTGTCCCTCTCTTTTGGTTTTTTGGGAGTTGTTTTGTTTTGTTTTTACCAAGAGCATGTGCTGTCTTTACAGTCAAGGAAACAACAGTGAAAAGTAAGGTTAGGCAGAGTATCTAGGGCCGTCCCCAGCCGCTGCCGTGGGCCCCGTCCTGGTTCCTCTTGGTGCCAGCTGCCGGCCCGGGGAGATCCTGCCTCTCGCCCTGCCCTCCAATCTCAGCTGCATCCCAGTGAGAGAAATCACAGGGCCTCACTTCCCAAACCTGAAGTGCACAGCTCTTGAGTTTTTCTGTCCGCCCACGTGGCCAAGTACTTAACGGGGGGGGGGGGGGGGGTTACGGCACCCTGGGTTGGCGGGGAGGGTCTCAGGCCCCTTCCCTGTCGCTAACCCCCCACTCACTTTGCCTGTCCCTGAACTTCACACCGTACGTTCCCTCTTGCCTCCACTGAGACCCGATGGTGGGCCT